ATTTTGGATAAATTTGTTATTTTTATTCTATATTTATATATTATATTTATATCTAATATATATAATATATATATTTATATATAATATAAATATTTATTCTAACTATTTATACTTATTTTATTTTTCTTCATTAATTTAATCTATGACTGTAGCTAGAATGTTATGTTATTATTCCTTACGTTATATCGATTTTTATATTCTAAAAGTGAGTTTATATAGTATAATTGTATAAACAGATACAATTTATAATGTTTAAACGTATAACTTAATGGTTCAAATGTGATCAGTTGAAATATTATCCCTTATAGTTTAGTTTGGCTTATTGTTATTTAATTAATCGTTAAAAATTTTAATCTTTATAGAATTTATATATTAATGTTATTATTTAAATCAAGACAGCTTCAATAAAATATATATTTAAATTTAATAATAATAAATAAAATCAATTTTATTTGTCTTTAATAATTCTGGTTACCATTATTCGACTTTGTAATTTAGTTTACTTTAATAATTGTGTATTATAATTATGTAATTTTATAGTTACTATAAACTGGAAGAGTATTATTTTTTTAATAGCACATTAAATATTGCATATTTAAATATTAAATATATGCAATCCTATTCAAATATAATATAAAAAAATATACATTGTAAAAGTATGTATTTTAATAGTGATTTTGTGAAATAAAAATAATTTAAACTTTTTTAAAATTATTTATTAAGTACTTCAGTATTTTGTATATTAATTATATTATTAAATTTTAAAAATAAAAGTTCAGTATTATAATTATCCGTTTAAATTTATAATAAAATAATCAGTTTGTATCTGATTTTTATATATTTTTAAATATAGTTTTTATAGATTGTTTCATATCAAATATTCAATAAAAAATGCATAACATATTTATATCAGTAAATAAAGATTCTTAATAAAAAATCTTATCTTAAAGAGCTTAATTTTTTTATTTTTTGTTGGTACTGTTGGATACAAAAGGCGGTTCTCGCATGCTAAACCAGTGTAAAATTGATCATATAAGTGAAATTAAATTAAAGTTCAATTAAAGTAATAAATGGATATTCAATTATTTAAAAATGTTTGAATTTTTTAAATTCAATTTTACATGAACTTTTACTATTTGTGCAGCTGGCTGGCTTTTTTCTTTTTTTTCTTCTAATTTCATATAAGCTTCATACTAACTCAAATTTTTAATAATAATGAAGATTTCTGTATTATTAATCTTTTTTTATTATACATATTAATAAGAATTCTTTTCAAACAATATATGTAATACAATAATATATGTAAATATTCAAATGTATTAATTTGCTATGTGTTACATTACTGTTCATAAAATATCTTAAACGAATAATATGTATGATCAGTAGTATTTGCTATTAATCGTAAATCAAATAGAGAAATCGTATTTATCTTGCTTTTAGTATTAATTAAATTAATAAATTAAAATAATAGCTTGTATTAATTTGAAAAGATTCAATTTTCCAATAATAAAGTATTTTGATGATATATGTATCTTTATAAAGTTTGAAAAATTTATTAACGAAAATTATCTCTAAATCATTACGAAATTTTATTATTTAAATAGTGTTAAACCAGGAGAAATTAAATTAATATATCAATTAAAATTATATTTGAAAATAAAAAATTTTTAAATTCTCATTTTGGTATGGAAGCATGTAAATATATATTACAAAAAGATGTGTAACAATTCAAAGTAATAATAAGATTTTAATTCAGTATTTGAAAACGAGTACTAATAAAAAGAGGAATATTTAAATTTGATCAGTAGTTTATAGTATATTATAAATAAATATTATTTAAGGGATATTTCCTACTATATAATACTTATAATATTAAAAATTTAAT